ACCTTGCATAAAATATGGGCTGAGTAAATGTTAGACTTTATTTTTGCTATCAATTCAATAAATTAACAGAAGAAAATAGTTTTCCTTTTTGAAGATGAGGAAGTTTTGAGATTTAGAAAATAATTAGTATCTGTAAACTGCTAAAATATTTTATGTTACACTTAAAATAAGCTGATTATACTTTTGAATAAATCTGGAAAATATAATGCTGTGGCTTTTAGTTGTGAGAAATGGTACCTTCATTAGAATTAATGAACAAATATGGTTCATTCCTAAGGAAAGTGAAAGTAAAGAAAGAAGAGAGATATTCAGTGGAATTTCTTCTTATTACACAGTAAACCTTTGTTGGTGGCAAAGCTTAAATTACAGTGAGGAACTGAGATAATTGCTAGATAGTTCCAATAAAATTCACAAGCATTTGGATTTCTATGCTGTGCCTTAGCTCTGCTGTAGACTTTTGTTTTATGAAAATCATTGTTTAGATCTAAATTAAATGAATGCCTATTTCCCTTTGCTAGGGTTATCTTATACTAAGTCAAATGGTTTTTTGTATTGGATGTAAAGTGATCAAGTGGAAAAGACACAAATATGAGATGGCATCTACTCTGGTTACTCTTTTGACATATGTGAGAATGCTTGGTTTGCTGCTGACATTGAGTTCTTGGTGGGTGGTGAAATGGGAAGTCAATAAAAACAAAGTTTCCAAATGTCTTTACCTAAAAAAATTAGAAATTGCAAATCTTTAAGTGGAACCAAAAAATCCCATTCATTTGTCACGTTTCAGGTATTCAGATATATAAATATTTAATAAGACTGCTTGTAAGTAGGAAGCTAGAGTAGTAGCATTAAAATGGTGAGAAACAGCCGTAATTGAGATCATACACTATCATAATGGTTCCAGGTTAATCATCCCATGCTTTAAGCATAGAAGTGACTTCAGTCTTCTTCAGTTCTTGCTACAGTTGCTCAAATGTTGGTTTCAATTTCTTTCCAGTTCTAGTAGAATGTAACAGATGGCATGGTTGCTTTTCACCCCAGTGTAGTTGAAGCTTATTAGAAACAGTAAAAATCAATTTTCCCATTGCCCTCTCTGATAATGAGGAAAGAAGTATTCACTGACTGGCTTGAGGCTACAAGGAAAAAATAATGGGATTGTTTGCTTTGGCGTATCAAGAATTGACTATCCTATTTTGTTTTGATCTGAGCCTTTTTTCAGCGCTGTATTTTATTTTTTCTAGTAGGAATCTTAGTACAAAAAAGTAGGTTTATTTGTTTATTTGGAAGAGTCACCTTTAGAGAAAGGGAGACACACAAAGATCTTTCTGTATGCTGGTTCAGTCCTCAGTGGTCACAACAGCTGGGGCTGGGCCAGGCCAAAGCCAGGTACCTGGAACTCCATCTGAGTCTCACACGTGGGTGACCGAGGTCCAAGCACTTGCCATCTTCTACTGCTCTCCCAGATATATGAGCAGGGAGCTGGATTGTTGAACTGGAATCAGTGCTTATAAAAAAAAGATACATTTATTTGAAAGGCAGAGTTGCAGAGAGAGAGAGAGATGTCTTCCATCCTCTGGTTTACTCCCCAGATGGCCACAACGGCTGGAGCTGTGCTGATCTGAGGCCAGGAGCCATGAGCTTCTTCCAGGTCTCCCACACAGGTACAGGGGTCCAGGCACTTGGGCCATCTTCTACTGCTTTCCCAGGCCATAGCAGAGAGCTGGATCAGAAGTGGAGCAGCCGGGATTCGAACCGGCGCCCATATGGGATGCCAGCATTGTAGGCGGCTGCTTTACCCACAGCACCGGCCCCGAGGAATATAATTTTCAAAGTATTTTGGGGGGCTGTTGTGGGGCAGCAGGTTAAGCTGCTGCTTGCAACACTAGCACCCCATATAACAGTGTGGATTCTAGTCCCAGCTGCTCCACTTCCAGTCCAACTTCCTGCTAATGCACCTGGGAAAGCAGCAGAAGATAACCTTGCTACCTACACGGGAGACCTGGATGGAGATCATGGCTCCCAGCTTTGGACTGCCCCAACTTTAGCTGTTGCAGGCATTTGGGGAGTAAACTAGTGGATGGAAAATATTTTTGTATCCCTCCCACTTATTGAAAGTATTGAGCACGTCTTTTTTTTTTTTTTTTTTTTGACAGGCAGAGTGGATAGTGAGAGAGAGAGACAGAGAGAAAGGTCTTCCTTTTTCCACTGGTTCACCCTCCAATGGCCACCACGGCTGGTGCACTGCGGCTGGCGCACCGCGCTGATCCAAAGGCAGGAGCCAGGTACTTCTCCTGGTCTCCCATGGGGTGCAGGGCCCAAGCACCTGGGCCATCCTCCACTGCACTCCCGGGCCACAGCAGAGAGCTGGCCTGGAAGAGGGGCAACCGGGAAAGAATCCAGCACCCCAACCGGGACTAGAACCCTGTGTGCCGGCGCCGCAAGGTGGAGGATTAGCCTAGTGAGCCGCGGCGCTGGCCTTGAGCACGTCATTAATGGAACTGAATTAATTTCAATTATTCCTTATTTGCTATATTATCGTTATTTGCTATAAATCTACATAACTTACATATAGACTAGAAAACTTTTATGTTTATTGGAATTAATAGAGTGAGAGCCTGATTTTTTGTCACTAGATACTTTTTTTTTTTTTTTTTTTTTTTTTTTTGACAGGCAGAGTGGACAGTGAGAGAGAGAGACAGAGAGAGAAAGGTCTTCCTTTGCCGTTGGTTCACCCTCCAATGGCCGCCGCTGCAGCCGGCGCACCGCGCTGATCCTGGCAGGAGCCAGGAGCCAGGTGCTTTTCCTGGTCTCCCATGGGGTGCAGGGCCCAAGCACCTGGGCCATCCTCCACTGCACTCCCTGGCCATAGCAGAGAGCTGGCCTGGAAGAGGGGCAACCGGGACAGAATCCGGCGCCCCAACCGGGACTAGAACCCGGTGTGCCGGCGCCGCTAGGTGGAGGATTAGCCTATTGAGCCACGGCGCCGGCTCAATACTTTTTATATTCATGAACCCATACTTTTAAAAAACTAGGAGACTATGCAAGTAATATCTTACAAGTAGATAAAAATTATTATTTTGAATATTTTAACTTGATAAGATAAGATATTCTAAATTAATTGGATACAAACTGTATGTAGCTAATTATAATCCTGTCCTGTTTTGATTATGCCAACACATCTATTGCTATGCATTAATAGTGAAAACTGAGCATTCTTAAATATCAGAGAAAGTGTAGTTAATTCTTTTATTTTTAAATTTTTTAATATATTTTTATTTTATTTGAAATGCAGATCTTCGGTCTGCTGGTTTTCTCCCTGAATGCTGGCAACAGCCAGGGCTGGGCCAGGTCATAGCCAAGAACCCAGAACTCAGTGTAGGTCTCTCATATGGGCGGAACTCACTGGCAAAGACCTAAGTCATTGAGCCATCATCTGCAACCTTTCAAGGTATAAAGTAGCAGGAAACTGGATTGTAAGCAGAGTAGCTGGGACTCGAACCTGGCACTCTGATATGGATTACAGGCATCCTAAGTGGCTATTTAAACACTGCACCAAAAACTCTTCTTTTTCTTTACTTTTTATAAATTCTTGTGGTAGAATGTTTGGATCAGGTACAGCTGTTTATAAAGAAATCTAGACTATTTGGAGGCCATTAGTAACAAAATACTAAAAGTTCTGAAAGCTTACTTGTTTTAAGTTCTTTTAGATTATTTAAACTTCAGATATTATAAGAAAGGTTCTATCATGCAACATGATTAGCACAATATTGACATAATAAAGTGACTGGAAACAAAATAAGGAAGTGAAAGTCATAGCATAAAGAAAATGATGAAGTAGCTATTGCAGCACTCTTTGGAGAAGTCCCAATTTCATTTTGCTGCATTGTCTGTGGTGGTCATAAGGGAGGCACATCCTTTTTTTTTTTTTTTTTTTTAATGTTTTTATTTTTGACAGGCAGAGTTAGACAGTGAGAGAGAGAGACAGAGAGAAAGGTCTTCCTTCCGTTGGTTCACCCCCGAAATGGCTGCTACGGCCGGCACGCTGCACCAATCTGAAGCCAGGAGCCAGGTGCTTCCTCCTGGTCTCCCATGTGGGTGCAGGGCCCAAGCACTTGGGCCATCCTCCACTGTCTTCCTGAGCCACGGCAGAGAGCTGGACTGGAAGAGGAGCAGCCGGGACTAGAACCTGGGGTGCTGGCGCCGCAGGTGGAGGATTAGCCTAGTGAGCCGCGGCGCTGGCCATGGGAGGCACATCCTTAATCCTAAAAAATTTAATTTCAAAACTTATAAACAAAGTATTGTCACTGACTTTGTACCCTAATTTTTATATTTGAAAAATGTAACTCTTGTAAATCCTTAGGAAGGAAGCTAATAATAATTTAAAAATTAATAGCAACAATATTACCATTTCTGCAGTTAGCATTCATTGTATATTTGTTATATACATCTATTCTAAATGTTTTTATTTTAAAAAGCCAACTTTATTTATTTAATTTATTTGAAAGGCAGAGAGAGATCTTTCACCTGCTGATTCAATCCCCAAATGCCTACAACAGCCTGAATCAGTGGGCTGCGCCAGGCTGAAGCCAGGATCCTGGAACTCAATTGAGGTCTCTCACATTGATGGCAGGGACCAAGGCACTTGAGCCACATAACCTTCTGCCTTCCAGGGTGTAATTAGCAGGAAGCTGGATCAGGAGTGGAACTTGTACCTAGGCACTCTTGATTTGAGATGTGGCCATCCAGAGTGATGAGTATACTCCTCTACCAAATGCCTGCCCCCAAGTACTTTATTGTTATTTTCATTTGACTTGTACTAAAATCGCACAAAAGTAAGTGCAGTGCTGCTATAAATATGAATTGATAGCTATTACAGCCTAGTGAGTATATCAAATTTCTCCTTTTTTCTGAGGCAGGAAACCCTTAAAAACTGATGAACTAAAATGAAAGATAATGTACTGACATTGCTGTCAGAAACTAATGTAAACATCTGTTTTCAGCAGCCTGGTGAATTAAGTGCCTGGACCAACCTTTCTTCTAAAAACAATCCAAAATGCTGGATAAAATAAAATCTTAAATGCATCAAAGCTCTGGCACAGAGGTAAAGAATACTTAAGCCAAACACTAATTGGAAACTCATGAAGGTAAGCTGAGTTCTGAAGCTGGCTGTCAGCTTTGAGGGTGTTTGCCAAATCAGGTGAGCTTTTATTTTATTTATTTTTAAAGACTTATTTATTTGAAAGGCAGAGTTTACAGAGAGAGAGAGAGAGATCTTCCATCCTCTGGTTCACTCCCCAAATGACCACAGTAGTCACAGCTGGGCCAAACTGGAGCCAGGAGCCTCTACTGGGTCTCCCACATGGATGCAAGGACTAGGCTATCCTCTGCTGCTTTCTCAGGCACATTAGTAAGGATCTGGATCAGAAGTGGAACAGCTGGATCTCGAACTGATGCCCAAGAGGATGACAGTGGCTTTTACCTGCTACTCGTCAACACCAGCTGCTGAGCTTTAATTTTCATGGCCTTGTGGGATCAGGAAGCAAAAGTCAGACTCAGTCAAGGTAGAGCATCTAGAAGGAATAGTCTTCTCTGTTAATTTGGAGCTCCATAGGGAAGTGCCTTCTAAATGAAAAAATAGTCTAGAAATCCTTTCTCTTCAGGTTCCCACGAAGTATGTATTGTCTTCTACTTCCATTATTGCTATTGAAACCTGGTATTCCTTTGAAGGAAATTTTTCCCTTTTCTGGGGGGGCCAGCGCTGTGGCGCAGTGGGTTAACATCCTGACCTGAAGTGCCGGCATCCCATATAGGTGCTGGTTCGCATCCCAACTGCTCCTCTTCCGATCCAGTTCTCTGCTATGGCCCAGGAAAGCAGTAGAAGATGACCCAAATACTTGGGTTCCTGCATCCACCTGGGAGACCAGGAAGAAGCTCCTGGCTCCTGGCTTCGGATTGGCACAGCTCCGGCCGTTGTGGTCATCTGGGGAGTAAAGCATCGGATGGAAGACCTCTCTCTCTGCCTCTCCTCTCTCTGTGTAACTCTGACTTTCAAATAAATAAATAAATCTTAAAAAAAAAAAAAAGGAAGAAGAAGAAGAACAAGGGCTTAAAGGTTTATTGTTGGGGGTCAGTGCTGTGGCGCAGCGGGTTAAAGCCCTGCTCTGAAGGCACCAGCATCCCATATGGGCGCCGGTTCTAGTCCCACTGCTCCTCTTCCTAACCAGCTCTCTGCTACAGCCTGAGATAGCAGTGGAAGATGGCCCAAGTCCTTTGGCCCCTACACCCGCAGGGGAGACCTGGAAGAAGCTCCTGGCTCCTGGCTTCTGGCTCCTGGCTTCAGATCAATGCAGCTCCAACCGTTGTGGCCATCTGGGAAGGGAACCAGTGGATGGAAGAGTTCTCTCTCTTTCTGTAACTCTATCTTTCAACAATAAATCTTTTTTTTTAAAGATTTATTTTATTTATTTGAAAGATAGAGTCTTTCCAGTGGGTGGAAGATCTCTTTCTCTTCCTTTCTCTGTGTAATGCTTCCTTTCAAATGAAATAAATTAATATATATATATATGTATTTATTTCCATACTATTAGATGACAAGTGAAAAGAGGGGAAAAATCCCAAAAAATTTAAAAAGAAAAATTAATGTGAAAAAATATAATGAAAAAGTAAGGTGATAGAAGTACATCCAAGTTACACATACCTCACTAAAATATTCAGCCCATGTGGGTGTATGGCACAGGAATAAGATGTTCCTTGGGATGCCCATATGCCATTTTACAGTGCTTGGTTTGAGTCTTTTCTGATTCTGATCCAGCTTCCAGCTAATGTGCCTCCCTGGGGGATAGCAGAGAACAGCAGGTGATATCTCAAGTCCATGATTCCCTGAGACCCAGATTGACTTCTGGGTTCCTGCCTTCAGACAGGCCCTGCCCTGGCTCCAAATGTTACAGGCATTTGTGGAGTGAGTCAGTAGATGCAAGATTCTACCAGTCTCTTTTTCAAATAAGGCATAATTTGGAGCCAGCTCTGTGGTGCGGCGGGTTAAGCTTCTGTCTGCAGTTCTCACATCTCACATGGGTGCCGGTTCAAGTCCCAGCTGCTCTGCTTCTAATACAGCTCCCTACCAATGTGCCTGGGAAATCAGTGGAAGATGGCCAAAGTCCTTGGGCCCCTGCACCCATGTGGGAGACCCAGAAGAAGGTCCTAGCTCCTGGTTTCAGTCTGGGTCAGCTCTGGCCATTGTGGGCATTTTGGGGAATGAAGCAAGAGGATGGACGATATCTCTCTCTCTCTTTGTTCTTCTCTCTCTCTTTCCCATGTCTCTTCTCTCTCTCTCTTCTCTCTGTAACTCTGACTTTCAAATTAATAAGTAAATCTTAAAATTAAAAAAAAATCTCGTGGGTACCAGGTTCTAGTCCCAGTTGCTCCTCTTCCAGTCCAGCTCTCTGCTGTGGCCTGGGAGGGCTGTAGAGGATGGCCCAAGTGCTTGGGCTCCTGCACCTACATGGGAGACCAGGAGGAAGCACCTGGCTCCTGGCTTCAGATCGGCGCAGTGCCAGCCGTGGTGGCCATTTGGGGAGTAAACCAACGGAAGGAAGACCTTTCTCTCTGTATTTCTCTCTCACTGTCTATAACTCTACCTGTCAAATTAAAAAAAAAAAAATCTTGCCTTGCCTTTTAAATGAAGTATAAATAAATAAATAAAACTTTAAAATAATAAAAGTATTCAGCTGTGTAGGATTTAGAATGGAAACTACACGGAAACAAAGGGAAAAATATTGAAAGTAAAATAATAGAAGATATACTAGGCAAATATTGATTGGGAGAAAGCTAAAATACCATTTGAAATTGACTGAAGACAAATACAATTACTAGATATAAAAGAATTGGTACCTAATGGTAAATGGCTCAATTGCCAGGAATACATAGATTTTTTTAAAAATTTACATATAAATCCCTGTCGCTGTGTAATTCTGACTTTCAAATAAATACATATTTTTAAATAAAAGAAATTTAACCTAAAGAATATTTTTAAGAAAAATCATATGGGGCGGCCAGCGCCGCAGCTCAATAGTCTAATTCTCCGCCTGTAGCGCCGGCACATCGGGTTCTAGTCCTGGTCGGGGCACCGGATTCTGTCCCGGTTGCCCCTCTTCCAGGCCAGCTCTCTGCTGTGGCCCGGGAAGGCAGTGGAGGATGGGCCAAGTCCTTAGGCCGTGCACCCCATGGAAGACCAGGAGAAGCACCTGGCTCCTGGCTTCGGATCAGCGTGGTGCGCCAGCCGGAGCGCACCGGCCGCAGCGGCCATTGGAGGGTGAACCAATGGTAAAGGAAGACCTTTCACTCTGTCTCTCTCTCTCACTGTCCACTCTGCCTGTCAAAAAAATCATATGGGGTCTGCATTGCAATACAGTGAGTTAAGCCACTGCCTGCCATCCCAGTATCCCATATTCGTTGTATGAACTAGCAGATGGAATATATCTCATCCTCTCCCTCTCCCTTTCTGTAATTCTGCCTTTCAAATAAATACATCTTAAAAGAGAAAAATTGCATGAAATTCAAGAAAAGTTATTTTGAATAACTCATGGTTGAAAGAAGAAATACTGGTGGATATTTGCCTGCTTTTTGGGAGGTGATACCAAGGTAAAAAGCCTTGCATTCTTGGCATACTGAGTTAGGGTGCTAAAGACCAGCACCAAGAGAATGGTGCTGGAACAATTGTGTATTTGTTTATGTAAAAAAGAAATGAAACAAAACATATATGCAAATGTATAGTTTTGGTAAATTGAAGACTTAAATGTCAAAGGCAAAAATTGTAAAACTAATTGCAGGCCATAAAGGAAAGAGTTAATAAATTCCTTATGAAAGCTTAGAAATTTTTTCCAGCTGAAAGAGACTGGAAAAGACAAGCTATCCATTTGGGAAAGGTATTTGTATAACATATAAGGATTACTTTGTGTATTTGTTAGCTTTTGTTATTTTAAAATACCTGAAAGAAGCATCTTGGGAAGAAGTTTAATTTTAGCTTGTAGTTGGAAGTTCACAATTGAAGATCAGACAGATGGTTTAGTCTTGTATCTGGTGGAGGTTGGCAATGATGGAACACATGCAGAGGAACCGTCATATGGAGAGCCAGGAAACAGAGAAGAGGTAGGTCTAATTTGGCTTAAATAACCAACCCTTTGGCCAGAACTGCCTTCCAAGGATAAGCCCCCCAGTGACCTAAGAACTTACTGCTGGGCCCACCACCTAGCTTCCATAATTAGATAAATTATCCACCCTAATCCACCAACCCTTAGCATTAATCCATTAACCATTAACATAAGAGTTTGGAGGGTCAAGTCTTTTTCAATCCACAGCAGTACGCAGACATTACAAATCATTAAGAAAAAGACAACCCAGTAGAAAAATGGGCACAAGACTTCAGTAGACACTTTGTAGGAGATGAAACCTGAATGGCCAATGAAAGATGTTCAGCCCCATTACTAAATCAGGAAATTAAAATTAAAACTGTAAGATGCAATTTCATAGTAATCAGATTGGCAAGTACATGGAGCAACTTGAATATATGTATTTCTAAATAATGTAAATTGATTTGACCACTTTTGGAAAGCAGTTTGTCTTTATCAGATTAAATTGAAGAGAAGAAAACTGTGACCTAATAATTCTATTCCTTTCCATATATTCTACTTTTAGATATATACCTGAGAAAAATTTTTACTACTTGTGCTCCAGGTGATATGAACAGAGATGTCTATATTGGTACTATTCATAACAGCCACAAACATAAATTAATGTTCCTCTAAGAGTAATGAAATTGTTGTATATTCACAAAGTGGAATAATACTAGTCTCTGAAAAAAGGAATTACTGCTACTGCAGTAATAATTGGGGGGAAAAAACTTCCAGAATGTATTCAAAATGTGGAAAACATAAGTGAAAACTAAAGTAAGTTTAAAAAATCTGTGATTAAAACCAAAATTTCGTAATTAATAACTTACTTAGTTATTTTGGGAAAAAGACTATCAGTATGATGCATCTAATTATCTGTAATTCAACATGTTTTATTTTAAATAATATTGAAAATTCTGTGGTTTAGTTTTCCTTCTCTTATTTAGTCTCTGCAAAGTATTCCTCTCAGACCAGTG